AGGTTCGCAAAATCAGTACTATAATTGAACAACTTGCAGGTGGATTAGATGAAAGAATTAGCGATGACCTTCAGCGAACATCTGGCGCGCATGCTATCTGAACATTTAGGAATGCGACAGGCTAGAGTAGGGGAAGGGGTCTGTGGTCGGCTGCGATTATAAGGCAACTATGAATCTTACAGCCTAATTATTAATAAAAAAAAACAAATATCGCCTTATAATCGGGTCAATACGGTAGTTCCTTAACTATTTTAATCGCTTTAACTCGACTGATAATATTATTTGTAACTGCCATCTGTTGGAATTAAACACGTATCACCAAGAGTGCACTACTAGGTTTTTCTGTATTTTAATTTAATGATAAGGAACACACTTTTAGAAAATAAAGTTTCGAGACGACTTGGATCGGTAATGAAAGAAACCTTATTACGAGTAACAAATGTACAACGTTTCGACAAGATTTCGTACCTGATGATGACAAAAGGTTATCGAAACGTTGTACATTTGTTACTTATAATAAAGTTTCTTTCACTACCCATTCAAAACGTCTCCAGGCTTTATTAACGCGAATTTTTAGCAGCTTCCAATGTTCGTCGCAGAAATAAATGTTTACATTAAAATGTGATTAGAGGAATATTAAACCAGTGTTGGAATATAGTATTTAGAACTAAGTAGTTGTTGTCCAGGTAATAACTGTGGGCATTTATTTGATTTGATGTTTTCCAGGCCAACAACTACCCAACATTACATTTACAGAATAACTCCTTGAAACAAAAAAGAAATTACTTCGTGTGGTGCAATATGTGTACCCCACCGATTTATATGTTAAAATAAAATAAATCTATAGTTTGAGGATTAAACAAAATGTTTTTGAACGAGCAACGTGATGGCAGGAACATGTAATTAAAGATCTCCTGGAATTATAACATTCTCAAGATATCAGTTGTACCATTACAACAGTTTATCTTGTACTATTGTTTCAATATCAGTGACATTAGCAATATCACAGAATTTAGTTAATTCGAACTGTTTATTTCCGTTGGCCTGTTTTACACGAATCAAAGAGATGTCCTCGAACTTAGTCTTTCTCCTTGAAAACGTGTTGTATTTTTCTAACTCCCCAGTATCTGATCTTTTTTAGGTTTTATCTCAATGCCCTTTACGACAGTCGGATACGTTTATCAACGCTTAACTTACACTCTCGGGAGAGCGGGAAAAGCTGCCTTTTGTAAGTTGGAACATGCGTGAATAAATCAATAATAATCCAGATCCATGAACTAATCATCACGTTTATCTAACGTAACAGAGTTTGACCAGTCAAACTTGTTCAACCATAAAAAACGCAGTACTCAGAACTTTCAACCACGCGTTAGGTTTAACTAAACCGTTTACTTCCCAACTGCCTGATAACGAGAGTGCAGTATAACCAAACGATTCTTGCGCTAACCCTAAACAAGTCTATGTCTCAACGACGAACTAGTTATCAATCAAAGCTAGCTATACTATTTATAGTAACCAATATATTTATAACACAAAGAAACGGTAGATATGTTGTGTGTGTGTCATTTCATAAAACAATTTGTTTTATTCTTCTTTTCAGATTTTACAACTATTTCAGATTATTTACTGATTACAGTAACGGTTTCGTAGCTTTCAGCCAAGTTTCTTTTCACCTTAAAACAATACAGTTTAAACAAAAACATCGTATTTTATAAAATCACAGCAAACTGTATAATCTCTGAATGAAATCAGAAATAGATTAATTGGACAATAAAATATAAACTGTAAAAATATAGTATAAAATTCTAATGTACTTATCAGTAAACTAAAAAGTTCAAGATTACTAATTATATATCTAGTACAAAGTTCGATAAAACACAACATCTACTACATTGTCTCGTGAGTCTGGGAATGTTTGTTTGTCTCTTTGAAGTTAAGCAAAAAAACACGGTTTCAAGCGTTGTAAATCTACTGACATGCCATTGTACCACTTGGGGGCTGAGGGAATGAAAATAAATACTAAATAAAACTGGATCAATGTTTCCATTTTAGTTGGTGTATACAGATTTTTTAAACACTTCTCAAGTACTACTACTCAAACGTTTTATTTCGAGCTTTAAGCTTTATTAGATAAATATATGCCAACTGAAACAAACAATACTATCATATACACACAAAAATTTCAAACAACAATGTCTAAAACAAAAAGCGTCGCACATAATGTGTATGTTAATTTATATTGCATCATCATCAAAAATAAATAATTGCAATTAAATTGTCTATTTATGATTACTCGAGTATATTATTACAATAAATACAAAAGAAAAGCGTATCAGTTGTACAATACACTAGTATTTTGTATTTGCTTTAAATACGGTCCTTTCATGTTTGTTGTTAATCGCCAAACTACACAATGGACGATCTGTTCTCTGCACACCACAGGTATCGAGGCCCAATTTTTAGCGTTATAAGACCTCAGACTCATCACTGAGACTCGTATTGCAATTCAGCCACTTCCTCAGTTTTAATGTAAGCCCATATAGCCTCAACAGTATTCAGACCAGGGTATTATGCAGGTCAAGTCATGACTGCAGTTACTCCTTCAATCTTGTTTTTTCTCCCATTTATTATTTTATAACATTTTCCGCATGCTAGCGATCGCTGTATTGCTGGAAGATGAACCCCTGCCCAAAATGTCTTGTTCCTGATTAAAGTACATGACGTATAAGAACCTAACTGTACCTGCCAGCAGTCAAGGTGCCATCATTGGCTGAGATACAGCTCACATGTGTATTGGTTCCTCAGCATGCTTTATTGTTGATACTGTTCTCCTTTGTCCAGCTTGTACTGTAGTTTCACCTCAGCCTATCACATGAAGTAGCCCTGACCAGCCGAAACTTTGGTATCTACATGTTTTCATATGGTATTTCTGTCCTGAGAATCATGAGTACATCCACTACACTACTTCTAGGAATAGTACGAGTGTCTGTACTTTTATAGGCATTATACTGATATAACACTATAAAACTGATGAGATGACAGCCAATCCCAGCGTTAGTTATCAGCATGCGACTATACTCCGCCAATCCCAGCATTAGTTATCAGCACGTGACTATACTCTGATGTAGCTCATTTTCATAGAGTAAGTTATAATCACTTAGATTACTGTTTTCACAATCACTTCTCATACTGTATATAAACGAAGTAAATTCTTTAGCCTCACAATAACATTTGGAAAGAAAATAACAAAACAGCTACATGCAACGATATTACTCTGAGTACAGTATCATTGTCACACTGAAGTAAGACAGAAATGATTCATAATCTAGCATTACGCTAAACTACGGGTAAGACAGACACGATTCATAATGTAGCATTACTACTAGACTATGGGTAAGACAGACACGATTCATAATGTAGTAGTACTGCTAGACTGGGATAAAACAGACATGATTCATAATGTAGCATTACTGCTAGGCTGGGTTAAAACAGCCATGATTCATAATGTAGCATTACTGCTAGGCTGGGTTAAAACAGCCATGATTCATAATGTAGCATTACTGCTAGGCTGGGGGTAAGACAGCCATGATTCATAATGTAGCATTACTGCTAGACTACGGGTAAGACAGCCATGATTCATAATGCAGCATTACTGCTAGACTGGGTTAAAACAGACATGATTCATAATGTAGCATTACTGCTAGATTACGGGTAAGACAGACATGATTCATAATGCAGCATTACTGCTAGTCTGGGGGGTAAAACAGATAATGATTCATAATGTAGCATTACTGCTAGACTGGGATAAAACAGACATGATTCATAATGTAGCATTACTGCTAGACTGGGATAAAACAGACACGATTCATAATGTAGCATTACTGCTAGACTGGGATAAAACAGACATGATTCATAATGTAGCATTACTGCTAGACTGGGATAAAACAGACATGATTCATAATGTAGCATTACTGCTAGACTGGGGTAAGACAGCCATGATTCATAATGTACCATTACTGCTAGACTGGGATAAAACAGACATGATTCATAATGTAGCATTACTGCTAGACTGGGGTAAAACAGGCATGATTCATAATGTAGCATTACTGCTAGACTGGGGGTAAAACAGGCATGATTCATAATGTAGCATTACTGCTAGACTACGGGTAAGACAGCCATGATTCATAATGTAGCATTGCTGCTAGGCTGGGGGTATGGCATACAGCCAGATATGGGCAATTTTATCTTTTATTAATCACAAATCTGCACAATATCGTTGTCAGACTGTAAGACAGACAAATCTAACGACATTATTTACAGAGCAGATACAGTTTTATGAAGCGACGTTGTTTAGTGTACATCAAACTACCGCTAGGACTACTTTTACGTGCACTATTCAGCAGTAGGAGGATAAGCTTTCTTTACGTGCGATATCTTAGTAAGCAAGATAAGCCGCTTATGTAACTTAGACTGTGTGCTCTGCCTATCCTTCTTTTACAAATATTTATCTAAAAGACCAGTCAAAGTACATCGTAAGTTACTCAAGAAGCTTAGACGGAAACATCCTTTTTAAAACATCTTAAACAAATGCAGTTGGTGTTCAGCGAACAAGCAGAACAAACTTCAATTAATATGCATCTCTACGAACCAGTTACTTAACACAGCCGTAGAGCAAAGCAGTTGAAAACCAATCAGCACAAAGACAATTGATGACTTAAAATAAATATAATGACTATTATTTTATTTATATTATTATTCAGTTGTTATTATTTCAAAGAAACGTCTCTTGAAATATGAGAATATTTTTAATCTTATTCTTTCTTAATAACGATATAATAAATCTTGAACTTTTGAAAAACGTTACATGTATCGATTTGTAAATGAACTAATAAATAGTGGTAGCGAAGACTCGCCAGTACAAGATAAATACAAGTTCATCTATACTAAGGAACTAATAAACCTTTCGTACGAAATATGTTATGGTTATTTATTTATCAAAGAATTCTGAAGACGATCTTCCTGAATGTGGACAGTGGTCAGTGTGTAACAGAGTCGACGTATACTCCGTGCCGTGGGTTGAACGTCGATGTCGATGTCCAGGGAAGAAGACGTGCTCTATGTCCTTGAACGACCAAGACGGACATACGGTGATAGCGAAGACTCGCCAGTATAAGGTACATACGACTCCATACTAACGAACAAACTTTTTATTTGTTTGGCTAAATTTGTATTGAAGCCAGGCTATGTTTAGTTTAACTTAAATTACATATATGGTTTGGGTAAATGTTTATGTAACGACATAATAATATTGATACGTTATTAATGACTGGTAATATGTATTATTAACCAAGTTCCTACATTGTCTTTACATACAACGCAAAACGCATTTATGTTACTAACTCCTAAAAAATACTTTTATACTGATTACTAATAAAACATGAAAAACTACGATAGACGAGTATCGTACCAATATTTTATTGTTTGTGATATGTATGTTGGAGGTTAACCGGAACACACCTTCCGGTTAACCTCCAACATACATATCACAAACAATAAAATATTCACACTTTCCGGTTAACCTCCAACATACATATCACAAACAATAAAATATTCACTCTTTCTGGTTAACCTCCAACATACGTGTCACAAACAATAAAATATTCACACTTTCCAGTTAACCTCCAACATACGTGAGGTTCGTTAAGAAAATTAACGCTTTTTTCGTCGCAAAGGAACTGAAACTAGAGATAATTGAGGCGTGAATAAAATGTAATATATATATATTTTGGAATGTGGTACATGTTCAAATAGTAATTGTATTGAAGTGAATTTATGTAAATAGGACATAGAAATTTATAAATCATGATAGAGGGTAGTATATTGTGTCATAAGGCAGTCAAAATAAATATATGATCTTAGATAGTATTTGAAACGGAAGAAGGTATTTAAGACAATAACAGGATTATAATTCATAACTAGAGGTTTGTTAGATTCTGATAAGTTACGCTGTATTGTAATATGTATGTTGGAGGTTAACTGGAAAGTGTGAATATTTTATTGTTTGTGATTTCTCTGCACGTACCAACACTTCCTCTTCAGTCGTTGGTTCTATGTAGCTGATCTTAATCATTCGTGTATCATTCCAACTGCCGTTTCGTTACAGCGGAAAGTCCACCACATAGAGCAAGACTGATCTAACATTACATTTTCGTAGTCTCTTCTTCGACTCTCTTGTTTTTCGCTGATGATGTCTAAAATAAGTGAACTCCTTTATATGTTTCAACTCTTTGTCTTCTACGTTGATGCATATTCTGGAAGCTTCCTCTGATCGTGAAATTACCGTTGTCTTAGTTTTATTGACAGTTATTCACAATATTTTCTTTTATCAACAAACCAGCTAAGTAACCGTTGCGTCTCGTCTATTATTACAAATTATATCTACATTAACCTTCTGTATCAGTAATTAGGCCTACCTCTCTCGTAAAGCGTATAAACAAAACCTTGTCGTACGCCTCTGTTAACTTTTAACCAACTGCTTCATTCTCGGTCAGTTCGAACTGACTCCACTATAATTTCTTCCGGATTGTGATATCTGTTTGGTTTAACAAAATCCTGGACAGGATCTGCATTAATTCGTAATAGTCACAAGTGTTTTCAAAGTATGTGAAGCAAACGTGTGTAATCTTATAAAACAATTTTGATCTTCTGTTTAATTCTATTGAAATGTAACTGAGTGAGCTGTTTGTCTTCACTCCACAGCTTGTTGGCCACATTTTTAGATCTGAGGGGAGGACAGCAGAGATTCTGATGGGTAAAATCGAAGGAAAAAAAGCGAGACGCAGATAGTAAATTACATTCCTCAATGGCATTAGAAAATGGATTGAGGATAAGAAACTTGAATCAGGAATCGTTGACCCTCAGAATTGAGGACGACATCACGATTGAATGATTGAGAACCAGAGCTCTATAACCCAGTACATACGATATTATTATGTCCTAACACTATTTGGGTAGTTTAATGTCGAGGTTTATTATGTTCTGACACTATTTGGGTTGTTTAATATTGAGGTTGTTTCGAATCAGTTTGTCTTATTACTTTGAAATATGAATATAGCCCCCATTAAATTAGTTTTTGGGCCTGAAGTTAGTTGTTAAACTGCAGGTTGCTTTAACTATTTTAGTGTCTGACTCGCTGTATACAACATGACTAACCACTACCCATTAAATTAGTTTTTGGGCCTGAAGTTAGTTGTTAAACTGCAGGTTGTTTTAACTATCTTAGTGTCTGACTCGCTGTATACAACATGACTAACCACTACCCATTAAATTAGTTTTTGGGCCTGAAGTTAGTTGTATTTTAAAATACTTACAGTTTGCGGTGAGCAGGCAAATGAATACCTATGTGCTACTCCAGTAGGCACTGTATAGGAGTGATGTTTTATAATGTAAGGAGAACTTTTCTTGGGACAGACGCACTGCATTGTTTGCTGTGTCGTATTGTCAGGGTTTTCAACATAAGTCCATGTGACGTCACGGATATATCGACAAACCGGGAGTTTTCGGACGGGCTCGCAGATCTGGAAGTAAAACTAGTGGTTAGTCATGTTGTATACAGCGAGTCAGACACTAAAACAGTTAAAACAACCTGCAGTTTAATCAACTCGTGTATTTTAAACACACTACAACAAGATATACCACGTTATTAACACACTCCATTTGGAGACTTATAAACACAGTATGACGAGTTGAACGGGTTTATTAACATACTCCATTTGGAGACTGTTAAACACAGTATGACGAGTTGTACGGGTTTATTAACATACTCCATTTGGAGACTGTTAAACACAGTATGGCGAGTTGAACGGGTTTATTAACATACTCCATTTGGAGACTTTTAAACACAGTATGGCGAGTTGTACGAGTTTATTAACATACTCCATTTTGAGACTGTTAAACACAGTATGACGACTTGTACGAGTTTACTAACACACTCCATTCGGAGACAGTCGAGATCTCAAATTTAAGAAACACCGTAAATGAAAAAGCTAATTCATTGGTTATAAAATGTATTAATTTATATCTCTGCTAAACCCTACAGCGGTTATTTTATTACGTGATCTAAGAATACAAATACAATCAAAAATATTCCAATATACTAAGTCTGTGTTCGACCTATGATCTTTATTATGAAGTTAATTATTTTTCCATATTATTAAACCAGCACAGACAAATTCCAAAGCTGCAAACCATAGTCTCGCCATCTAGGAAATGTTTTTAGAACTATCATTTTAATTTTGACGACTAGTACAAAGTCTGGTGTGTATTTGTCTGAAGATATAAATATAAGTTAGGAAACTTAAATAAAAAAAGCAAGTACTTAATGTTAAAATCAACTACTGTCAAACAAAACATATTTCGTTATTTATCATAACTTAATCGCTGAAAAGCTTGTAAAAAAAGAACTGTTGGTATAAACGTTACAATTTCTAATTCTTATAGCCCCTACTGTGCCAGAGAAAAGAGCCATGCCGCTTATTCTCCGTGCGAAAGCGATCAGAAGTGGAAGATGTGAACACGGACACTTTGTGCCACTGTCCTCATGGACACGTGTGTCCACACAACCACAAGGATTCATCCGTCATTCTAGAACCCAGCCATCACAGGAGCCGAATACGAACCTATAGTGGTTACTGCACGTCGGATGTAGACTGATAAAACCTCACGTGGTCTCGAGATAGTCGTTCTCGACCGACTGCAAGTAAGCGTGGTGAAAATTCGTGACTTAAGTGCAGTCACTCAAGAAATTGTACAATGAAGTCACTCTCTAAAATACGCTGTGAACATCGACACATTCCAAGGTTGGAACGGTTAAACACCTTCTAACACCTTCCAGGGTTAAACACCTTCCAAGGTTACTTGTGATTTACTAGAATTAGGATGGAAGCCATTTTGGAAATCTGAACTGATATTTCGAACTCAAGAGGGAGTAAAGAATTGAACTTGATCTCAAGAAAATGCCATAAAACTTTATTTTCGCCAAAACAATACTCCGACAAAAAAAAAAAAAGGACAATCAACCAGGCTAGATAAAACTGGTGAGTCGGAATTAACCAATGGTAACGAGATGCAAGTAATATATAGAATTATTATTACACGTAATATAAGTCCTAAGTTAACCATATTTTTTACGTTCTTAACAGTGCATAATAAAATATTTGTCAACCATTTCTTAACTCTCCCGAGATCTCGGACACCAAACGTTCAAGTTCTAAATTTATATATACCACTCTTTATAAGAAATGATACTTTTAATATATGCTAACGAACAAGTTAATTGATAATTATAAAAAATGCAATCTTCGTTATCTGCTCACGTAAGCAAAATGAAATAAGTTTTAATGTAAATGCAAATTACAGTATCTGGTCTACAGGTATAAAAGTTGAAAAACGGTTATAAGAAAATGGGTTGTATAGAAAAATCTATCATTTCAGTGTTTAAATATTTTAACTCTCGTGGAAGGTAGGAGGTCAGGAGATTCAAATTAATTAGACAAGTACCACCACTATCTCCCACCTCACCCCTGAAGTAAAATAACAAAAAAAAACGTTTTTTTAACACAGGGTTAAGCATGTATGGTACTTTAAACTGTTGTCTTGGTGCCATACATGACGTCACAGTTCCACGTTGTTATTTTAATATATGTTTATCAGCTATATTGCATCCTGAACTTTTTTCATGACGTCACAGTTCTACGTTATGTTTATCAGGCTTTTACTATATTGTATCCTGAACTTTTGGCATGACGTCACAGTTTTACGTTGTTATGTTTATCAGCTATATTGTATCCTGAACTTTTTGGCATGACGTCACAGTTCTACGTTATGTTTATCAGCTATATTGTATCCTGAACTTATTGGCATGACGTCACAGTTCTACGTTATGTTTATCAGCTATATTGTATCCTGAACTCATTGGCATGACGTCACAGTTCTACGTTATGTTTATCAGCCATATTGTATCCTGAACTCATTGGCATGACGTCACAGTTCTACGTTATGTTTATCAGCTATATTGTATCCTAAACTTATTGGCATGACGTCACAGTTCTACGTTATGTTTATCAGCTATATTGTATCCTGAACTTATTGGCATGACGTCACAGTTCTACGTTATGTTTATCAGCTATATTGTATCCTGAACTTTTTCCTTGCAGTAATTTTCTTGTAATACGTGTATAAACATTCCTAAATAGAACTGATTCTTTTTCAATAAACTATAAATCCATAATTTATTTTTAATTTGGCAAAACGTATCAATGGTCAATTAATTCTTGAAAACTAAATTTGTGTTTTTGTGTTTCTACAAAACCACCTACTGGTTTGTCCAGTGAAACTAATGACCGGTGATCTAGATTTATACTTTATGTCAGGAATTGGGGGCTAATATACAAATTATTACCCCCCTCCCCCTCCCCCACACACTTATTAACACTTATTGTGTTAGCGAGGAAAAGATAGATTCATTTATATATTACTCGGCTATTTTGAGTTATCTATAAACAAACATATCTTTTACTCACTAACACAGTGTTAGTAAATGGGGGGAGGAAGTTAAATAACTTCTATATAAGACCCTAACATGAATTTGGCAACTGGGATCCTCTAGGTTCTGGTCCTTAACTGGAGCGAGGGTAGGTCAATAAAAATCTTGCGCAACAAACTACATCTCCCAAATAATAATACATAATATCACCTTGAGATCACGTTTTGATTAATTCATCGAATATTTTAAATTAACTACTACGATATCAGTGACAACTATAAAGTTATTTAGCAGCTACTTTTTCCATTAACTTTCGACCTTCTTAAAAATATCTATCTAAATTAACATTAATTGAATTCATTACAAAATTCTTCTTAGATCAATATCACTATTCAAACAATGTAATTTATGATATTCAAAAAATACTTTCTGAATATAAATAACGTCCGTTAACTAACTCAGTCATGAAATATTAAACAAATGTTTTTCTGTCGAATTTCAAATCAGAAACGACACCTACGTTTCATATTTTAATAACCGAGACATAATGAATAGATAAGTTTATTTCAGTATCATCAAACCCTAATAAAGAGTGAATAATGTATATAAATAAAACTTTCAATGGATACCCTTCAAAAGGAGATTAGAGAATATGTTTACCGATAGATGGCGATCGCTATAAACAAAATACAAAATATTAGTTAAGTTCACAGACTAGTGTAATATCACACTTTTATATTTAATATGTTGATGATGTTGAAATAGCAGGTCATTATAAACATTTGAATAACTCAATACTTAATAAAAACATCATTATAAGTATTACAGATAAGCTATGACAGAAACAACGTGTTAAGTGTCTTTTCATGACTCGTTTTCACTCTCCCATTTCAACCCCCGAATTGAAAATCTGGAACAATATACGTTAAACTGAGAAAAGCCATATAATTTTCTATTTGGTTTTTCTACACACTATATAACAGCATTGGAGTAATTAGTAATTTGTCACATAATCCATGATAAATTTAAAAACATCGGGAGCTCTCTCTATCTGTATATATATGTGTGTATTTTGTATATGTACATGTTGATGGAATACATATTTTTGTACAAAGTTACAGAATTAAATAGTTTCTGTTGAAAAAAACGTTGTCTGGTGTGAATTATATCTCTGACAATTTTTAAATAGTTTCTGTTGAAAAAACGTTGTCTGGTGTGAATTATATCTGACAATTCTTATATAGTTTCTGTTGAAAAAACATTGTCTAGTGTGAATTATATCTGACAATTTTTAAATAGTTTCTGTTGAAAAAACGTTGTCTAGTGTGAATTATATCTCTGACAATTTTTAAATAGTTTTTGTTGAAAAACGTTGTCTGGTGTGAATTATATCTGACAATTCTTATATAGTTTCTGTTGAAAAAAACGTTGTCTAGTGTGAATTATATCTCTGACAATTTTTAAATAGTTTCTGTTGAAAAACGTTGTCTACTGTGAATTATATCTCTGACAATTTTTAAATAGTTTCTGTTGAAAAACGTTGTATAGTGTGAATTATATCTGTGACAATTTTTAAATAGTTTCTGTTGAAAAAACGTTGTCTACTGTGAATTATATCTCTGACAATTCTTAAATAGTTTCTGTTGAAAAAACGTTGTCTACTGTGAATTATATCTCTGACAATTTTTAAATAGTTTCTGTTGAAAAAACGTTGTATAGTGTGAATTATATCTCTGACAATTTTTAAATAGTTTCTGTTGTAAAAACGTT